GCTCTTGGACCATATCAGCATCCCAGCATCCTCTGTCCATCAGGGTCACTAAAATGTCAGCAACTCCTCCTGAGCCAGCTAAAATCAGCCAGGGTATTGAGTTCTGAATATTCTTGTACATTTTCTGTTAGACAGGAAAAAAACGCCACAATAAAACACTTATAATCTACAGTATCAATTCATTAGATATGTTTTATTAATAAAATGTTAAGAGTGACCTGTAATATCCTTGGCTCTCCGTGGACCAGAAGACACAAAACTGGGATTTCTATACTGCCTGTGCCTGTTACAACAGTGAATTCATTTCAATCTCTGAGCACGAGAAGATAAAAAATTGTGAGGGACAGACTGAGTCTTAACTCACCCCCATATCCTGTGCGCTGCAGAGAGATGTGTTTGAGCATCCTGACTCTCATCTCACCAGTGGCTCCAGGTCTCTGAGGGTCCTCGTCCACAAGGATCAAATGGGAATGATTGCAGTCCAGGGAATACACTGCACCATGGGGAAGATCCTCATACGGGTATGTTGCTGGATGATCAGGCTAAATAAAAAAAGTTTACAAATGAAGTAAAGATTAAAACCATTAATGAAGTTAGAGTTGGAGTTGTAGGCCAACCAGGAAGTTAGCATCACACTGATTCCCTCAACAAAAAGCCAATAGGAATTGTATGCAGGAAATAAGGCCTGTGACCAACAAAAGATGATTTTTATGAACAACTTTTATGAATTTTGAAGGCTACATAATTAAAAAAACTAAAGTTAAGCAATAAACACTAGAGTGGCTTCAATGTCACCGCCACAAAGGATCTGACATGATCTAACGGTTGGAGAGTCAGACTGGTAACCCGAAGGTTGTGGGTTTGATTCTCAATACAGGCAGGAATGAACACACCTAACCCCCCAATCAATCCCGGGGCACCACCGTAAATGGCTGCCCACTGCTCTGTGTGTGTGTTTACGGTTTGCAGTGTGTGTTTGTTCACTACTCACTACTACCCATATAAAAAACCTATTGACTTTGGGACAATGGAACCAACTGCAAACGTGCAAACTAATTTCCAGTCCATATGCCATTTTCCATGCGACTAAATGATATGAGATGAAAGAAAACATCAAAACGATGGGGTAATTCAGGTCGATTGGGCCAATGAACCTGCATTCTCCCCATCTCTTGAGAAGTCCCCACCTTTGCAGACAGCAGCAGATCTCTGTTCTGAATCATGTTCCAGGGAGCAATTCCAATGGCCACCACTCGCACCTTAGAGGAAGTGCTCGCTAGAGAGTGGTCTCTTACGGCCTGACCCAGGTTCTTGGTGATGCCAAAACGCAAACCACTGGTGAGGATCCACGCCCCTATGTAGGTCAAGGGTCAGAGATCTGTGACAATCAAAAAGAGATTCTGAATTTTGTTTTTAATGAACAATAAATAATCCACCTGTGCTTTGTGCCGCCTTCACAAGGCCTTTCCTAAGTGTGTCCCTCAGCCAGGGCTTCAGCTGAGCCACTTCATCACCTCCCATTAGTGCCACCACCAGATGAGGAGGGGCCAGACCCCACTGCTTAGTCAAAATCTGATAGATTTCGGCTGGATCTGTGGAGCTGGTCACCCTGACAAACTGGACTGACAAATGAAGTTTGTGAATAATGTGCACAAGCTTAAACCCGTCAAGAACAGTAATGATTTTGAGTAAGAACAATATGAATTTGTAAAAGTCTGCCCTTATATACCTTGCCCTTGGTCCGACTGACACCGACAAAATCAATATCTCCCAAACGTCCGGCCGTCCAGTGGGTTTTATCGGATCTCTCATTGCTCTTCGCTCCAACATGAACAACGGACTCTGTAAGTGGGTTATAACACCGACATCCCACTGGAGAACTGCAAATAGTGACAGGATAGGTCAAGCATTTTGAACTGTTAAGTATTTATTGGTGATGATAAGTCGTGCCACCAGTCTCACCTGTGTTCTTTGGACTCACTCAAGAGTTCCCCACATTGCAGACACCTTCTGCCCTGCCGTAACACACCCTAGGGACAGAATTAAAATGCATCTGTATTACAGACCATTCAGGTGCAGCCATAGGAGCGCTACTCTGCTCAGTGAGGAACTTTATGTAAAACAGTAGCAATTTTCATTTTCTTTCTTTACACACATGCAAACTTTCCCTCCCTCCTGGTAAAGGCTGAGCACACATGAATTGGGAAACTGACCTGATTTTTACCAACCTGAGGTTAAGTAAGAGTCAGCAAGAACGAAAGGTGAAAGACAAAACAGAAAGAAAGACTTGACGGACTGTATGGAGTTTGAATATGGAAATATGCATAAACATAATAAAACACCTTTGTATAATTGTTTACTGATAGCAGGCAAAATTGATCATCCATAGAGGTTCTCTATGCACTTGTCCTCTTGGACTTATTTGAATCCTCTTCAACAGGTCAGTTCTCCTCATGTGGTTGAAGAGGCACAGAGCGAAAGAGTCATAGTAAAAGCAGTAAGGAACTGAAATGCAATTCTATATATATATATATATAAACATTTCAGGAGGTTAACTGCATGTGATTGATGTAATCAGATCTGATTAATGTCTTTTTTTAATGCCATAGCAATGCCATCAGGTTCAGGTATAACTACCACCTTGCCTGCTTTAATGCCAGCCCTTTTTATTGTGAAACCTCCTATTTCCTAATGGTTGCTTGCCATTTATTTTCAAACAAGGGCCATTTCGACCTGGTTTGATCAGTAAACATGTAATTACTCAGCCAGCCAGCTGTCATTGAAAAGTAGTTTGAACTATAAATAAAAAGATTATGTTAAATTGATTCTTGGAGGATTGGTGGCCAGGTGTTGATTATTGAAAAGTACCCATGACTTGTATGCAAACATGATTGATGTGTGTGGTTGTGTGGAGAGGTGCAGGAGCTGCCTATGATTTGACTAGGGAAAGGGATGGAGTGTATGAGAGAGGGAAAAAACCATTGGAGACAAAGCACAAACACAATTATTTGCATTAAAGGTGGCACATAGAAATTACCTTATACACCAGGAAAAAAAAATTCTAAAAACTTGACAATGAATGGGACACTTTGTCAATGAATGATGATATCATTATTTAATGTTTTCTACCAAATTGTCGCTTTATCTCTTAGATGTATCAGAAAATACATTTTCTTCAGAGTCCAATTCTTGTACTTGAAAAAAGCTAATTCATTCAATTCACAAAATTAAACCAATGAAACCACCTTGAAATTTTAGAAACATCTAGATAGCTGTGGAAGTATATGAATAATAATTTGACATGCTAAACTTCACAATCAAAATGATTGCCTTAAGTAAAATGTTTGATTTAGTTAATTGCATCTTTACATCTTTTACTTTATAAGTATTTTTTAAAAACTGTTTAGCAATTTATAAACCCCACAGAAATGACCTGCAATCTGACGCCAGTCTTTGCGCTGAAAGAATTCACTTACCAGAGGAGTATCCTGATGCCCCAGCATGATATCTGGATGTTGGGTTTGCTCTCGGATCCTCTTAGCTTGTTTTAGGCCACTACAGGTCTGGGCAGCTCAAGAGTGCCACCAGGAAGTGAATCAGGAGGTTTATTCTGGCAAAACCACTCCCTTACTAACCGCTGCTAATAGCCTACGTTAGGCTCAACTTACCTGCCTTTCCCCGATCTCCACCATAAACATTCCAACAGGAAAATATCTTCAAATATATGTGATAAATAAGTGATTCATTTCCATATGCCTACTATTATGTTTTCTCCTATACTCATTTGCTCTGGACTTTCCATTTTTTAAAAAGTTTGACAGCTTACAATGCCCTAAGTAGTCTGGCTAAAATTACATGGTAGCCTAAATTGGAATACATCTGGAAAGTTGTGTGTAAGTGATGTAGTGGAGATTTCTGGTTCAGTATGAGGGGAAAAACGTAGACCTATTGAGAAAGCAGCATTTTATTAGATGTGTAGGCTATTGTAATTGTAATCTACAGGTGTAAATGAATGAAAAGCAAATACAGGCTATTTTGCATATATTGTCTGTTTTTGGACGTTTTCTTTCTACTAGTCTGAAAGAAGTCGTGTTATGAAGGTGAATTAACTCGAAAAAATGACAATTAACAAAAAAAAATGGCTTTGCCTGTAAAGTGTCTTACATTGCTTATGAAAATGTATTTTGTAACTCTGACTGCTCCAGTTTTAGAAGAGTTGCAGTTACTCTAATCAACCACTAGGTGTCAGCACCTCCAAGGGAAATTAAGCACGAAGATCAAGAAGACTGACGAGGTCGTCCTCAATCGGTTCAAAATCTACAACGGGCTCTTGTCTCATGAAGCACATCAAGAAGATGGTCTGATTATGAAATCCGTTTCCTTCAGAGGTATATTGCATACAAAATAGCCATCTGGCTACTAGGCAGCATATCTCAACTGCATTTAAAAACGCGATGTTGCTAGTGCTACATTAGGGTTTTTTTAAAATCTGGAAAATCATAGTATCTTATCTTATATAGAATGTGATACTTTACATATTAGACTAAAGTATCACAGATGTTTAATAAATATTGCGTTATAACTGAGACCGTACAGCTAACGTTAACGTTAATGCTAGTTGACCAGAGCGAACGAGATGGGTGCAGCGATCGGTTTTATGCCATTATCTTTGGAAACTAGGCTACATTCTGGATAACGTATAATTTATGTAACACATAATTGGGATGTTTTTGTTAGGGTGGTGGTAACGTAACTTAATCATTGTAGTTGGCGTTGCGAGTTAGGCCTTTTCGCCGAGGGGTTATTTCTTGAATTTTGTTCAGGTCAGAACAAGAGTGTGGCTACAATAGCATAACCGTAAATTATTCAACATCACATAGACATACATTTTTACTAGTAGGCCTACATAATTATAGTATCAATAATATTATATTGGGGCGGCTCTCGTTGTCCGTTCGCTTGTGGTCCGTTTGCCGCAGCAGAGGATCCCCTGACGTCATAATAATCGCTCGAGTCACCTGGTTGGTTGAGTTTTGCGCGCCATTGGTGGACCCCGCCCAGAAGCGTCAGAAATGCGCTAGAAATATTTTGATTGGATTTAGAAAATTGAAAGTTTAGATTTGTGTTAGCCTGGGAAAACCCAGACAACCTCTGGCAAAATTAGGCTAGATTTGCTCTGAAAGTTACAACTGATAATGGTCTGGTTTTAACCAGGCTAGATTTGTGTGCGTCATTTCGATTTCGATATTAACACGTATTTAACAAATTATGAGTAACCCCAAGCCTTAAAACTGTGGCATTGGAAAACACCATTTTAAATATTTGGTCGAAGTCGAACTGTAAATTGTTGCATGAATCATATGCAGCAACATTCGGCGCCCTTCCATTGAAGCAAAACATTTGCATTGAAGCAAATGTGTTACGGAGCCAGATATTTTAATGAAGATAATAATGGCTACATCAGACTAAATCCAGGACAATCAATTATTCGGAATATTCAAATGTTTATAATAATACATATTAGTTTAATATCATAATAAAATGTATATTGTTGCAATATTTGTGTTGCATAAACTTTAATCTATTGTTATAGTATAGTCCTATTAGGAGGTCTGCATAATTATAAATTACACAAGAAAATAGAAAATTAAATTACTTAGCCTAGTAGAAATTAGAAAAAATTCTACTAAGTGAAATGGTAGAAATTACTTCTCTCTGAAACAATCATTTATGTCATGGCCTTTATGCATGGGCCATATCGGACTGTGGGTTTTTAAATAAGAAGGGGGATAGGGTGACATTGCTGATACGAGGGGGGTTTATTACACAGGGCGTGGTGTCCGCCTAGCCAATCGGAGGCCTTTGCTCGTACAAACGCTGGCCTTTAACCACCGGCACAGATATAAACAGACTACAAACAATAAGAGCTAAACAAGCGTCAGCTCGCGGCATTGACTTTCAAGCAACATGGCAAACGTAGACGTATCAAGCAATCTGGAGCGTCATGTTGCACGGAGGACCTTTCCTCTTCTCGCCCGCACAAAGGTCTGCCGTAACCTTTTCGGACCCGTAGATCACGAGGAGCTGCACGGTGAAATGAAACGCAAACTCCAGGAGATCTCCGAGCGAGACCAGACCCGGTGGAATTTTAACTTTGAGACCAACTCGCCTTTGCCTGGAGATTACGAGTGGGAGGCGATTTCAGAGGACGCTATGCCATTTTTCTACAAGGATAAAGTGCAAAATAAAAGAGCTCTCGCCACGGCGTCTGTTAACGCGACAGGAGACGCGTCCAGCACTTCTGACTGTGGGTTACACGGGATTTCCTGGAGTCCGGTAGTTCAAGAATCCGCGGACGTCCCAAGTCGACCCAGCGAGCTTAACCAGGAGAACCTCTCTGGGGCACTCAACTCAAAACCAGCTCGCGCTTCAGTCCTCAGAAACAGGCGAAAGAGGTCACTCATCCCAGAGGCCCCCAGAAACAGCACGCTGCAAATTACAGGTAACTTAGGCTAATGCATTGAAACGAAATTAAAAGTAACGGACAATTTAAGTGTTTCGATTTTTTTTTTTAAATATGATCTTGAGCGAAACATGTCTAACGACAAAAACATTGATTTCCACCAGACTTCTTCCCGAAAAGAAAAAGAAACCTGGAATCCAAGCAGGATGAACCCACCAGCATTGAAGTCACGCCACGCAAAACAATAAGATGGTGCGTATCCACTCTGTGCATAAAACTGTTTATATCATTGCATTAATAGTAGGCCTATGATAAAAACAATTATTATTAGCCGACTGATTGCATTAAACAAACGTGTAACTGATTGGCCACTTATTCAGTTTAAGCCATTTAAATGTTTGTCCCCAGCGTAAAGCTGCTGTTTGCCATGGAATAAATAGTAATTTTGTCGTTTTCTTTGCTTTACAGATGTTTGCACTCCATGCATCAGTCCACCTGTGTTTTATCTGCAGAGCGGATGAAAGAAAACCAGGGGACGAGAGACATTCACTCTCTCTCTCTCTCTCTCTCTCTCTCTCTCTCTCTCTCTCTCTGAACATATGTAGCAATACATAGACTTTGTTGCAGTGTTACAATGTCTAAATGGTGCAATTTTATATTTCTTTTGTTTCCACATGTGTAGAGGGCTAGGCCACACTGCTCTAAATAGATTAGAGCAATACTTTTTTCTTATTTTTTTTTTTTTTTTGTTGTTTTTTTTTTTAAATATACTAACTTATTTTATTTATGTTCAAAATAGTTGGTTACTTTATTATTTACAGTGATTGTTATTGTTTTTAATTATTTTAAGTTGTTTATTTAAGTTTTGTATGCAGCATCATGCAAAGAATGTTTCTGAGCCGTGTTTGTTAAAATATATTATGTAGCTCACGTTTGAATCAAAGTGTAAATTAAATTATATTTTTGCTAACCTGGTCGTATTCACGTGTGTTCTTGTGAAAGTCACGTATCATTATTGTGGATATAATGGGATGTGGGTAAACGGCAGAAAAAAAAATGCCCTTCACTTTTTAGGCGTCAACATTTTGCCTGTGACAAAAAGAGTAGAGTTTGGCCTCTAAACAGACTCAGCTGTTCCGCCCTCAGTGTTTGTGGGGAGGGATATGCGGGCAGCTGCGTGCTACAGGGAGGATTTAAATGCCATTTTCTTTCCATAATGAAGGAGGCAGGTGCCCTTGGAACCCCGCTTTGTCCACATAAGACCTTCATTTTCAGCACCCTCTCAGCTATCCCGCTAATGAAACACTTACCAAGACTCGAACAAAATGGGCTCCTTCTATTTACACGCCAACCACCTGCCTCCCCTCCCCCCACCTACACACTATCTGTGAATAACATTTACTATAGATACCACCACACGCCAGATCTTTATAATGCCATCGAGTTAGGGGAAAAGCTAATGGGGAAAAATAAAAAATACGTGAACAAAAATAGATCTAGGTAAAATAAATTCGTGTCCAAAACGAAATGTAATTGTGAGCAAAATAGGTTGGCTGAAACTCTTTCTTGTAGTTAAAACTGGAATAGGCTGTAGCCTATCCAATTGGTTATTTTTTTTATTTATTTATTTAACTTTCGTTCAATTTTACCACGTTATAATTTCTACTTAAACGTATGGCTATAGCCCTTTAATTTGGTTATATATTTATTTGCTATATTTTAAATGACGCATAACAACAATAGGCTATCAAATGTCAAATAAAATAATAGGTAACACTTTATTTTTGTTCCTTTGTTTCACGTTACATATTGCTCTAGTAATTAACCTTTAAATAGTGTATACATGCAACTATCCTAAACCAAACCCTATTCCTAATTTTAACCTACAAATAGACATGCAGTTAAATATTATTACTCGGTACTTAAATGTATATTACACTATAATAAGGACACCTTAAAAAGGGTTAAATAGTATGAACAGTGTTTGTAAAAAATCTTTGAAACTTTTATCATAATAGACTGGAAAGTGACCGGTAAGGTAATTGGATAAAGCGGAAGAAAGTGGTCTGAGTTCATTCTTTGGATTTTATAAACTCACTATAAACTCCAAACTCCACAATAAAGTGAATTGGGCCTTTAAAAACTCACATTTGTCAGTAAAAGAAAATAGCTTATCAACGTTTTTTTTTTTTTCAGATAGGCTCAGATTTCCCCCCTTTAATTTTTGTCGTTCACGTTTGGGCTAGGTGAAGAGTGCCAGTGTTTCGCTAGATATAGCCTTTCTCTAAAGAAGTTTCCCTTTTCCATGACCATCTGGCACCAAAAAAAGGCGAAATGGAACAAAGGCAGCTAAAGGCGTAAGGCGAAGCGAGTGCCATCGCATTCACCTGCAAATGAGGCTTTGTGCTCTCACAGAAGCGCTCGGTGCTCACAAATCCTGTTTGCTTTTGTTTCTCGTCCGTATCTAGTCGTGTGCATGACAACAGAGATAGTCTACTAGCTACTCCAGTCCAGTGCGTCATGACAGCGACTGACCATCATTCAAATGAAGAAACGAACAACGTTAGGAGACAATTACATAAAGATTGTTCGGTTTAAAAACTTTAAATATGCCTACATATCATGCAATGTGCATGCAAACTTAATTAACTACGATTAGGCTAATAATAATTACCAATTAGCCTGTAGATACAAGCAGGCCAAAATAGGCCTTTAGCCTAAGGTAGCCTGATAAATTTGTAGCTAGTCCCTAACTCAGAAGCTACCGGCGATGTAATAGAAACACATATATTTTGCTTAAAAGTATAAGCATTACATTAACTATAAAAATAATATTTAGATTTTTTTCTAATTAGCCTACGTGAACGAATATTTCGCGTGTTAAAGTATGATATTGAGAAAGCTGCACGGCATGCTACTGTAGCTACCTTTAAAACATTCATGAAATTGTCTTAGTATTACACAATCTTGTTTCATAATTATTAATGAAAAACGTGGATTTTAATAAACGAAATTATGTGACTTGTATAATGTGAGGAATCCCCCAGGGTTTAACTGGGCCTCATTATTTGAGCTTTTACACTAAAATCATTATGTCCAGCTTGACAGGGTTTCCAATATGTTCCGTTATAGCTCGGATGGGTTTCCTGACCAGATGGATTACCTCCTCAGGCTCATGGGACCGCGACTTTTATCAGCAAATCCCACAGAGACGCATTCATTCAGCCCATGCAGTCTGTACATCATTAAATGAAGTTAAGAGTTCAATTCGAATCCTTTTATTCTGACTAAAACATGAAATTAATTAGGCTCGTTTATTTGACTATAAAAACAGGAAATACTGTGCGTCGGAATACAAAATACACGGCATTAGTTGGCCACTCTTAAAAATAAAGGTTGACATTCCATGAAGAATCTTTTACATCAATTCCACAAAAAGCTCTTTATATAGTGGACAAGGTCCTTTAGATTATTAAAATGTTCAGCAAACAAACAAAAAGTGGTTATTTTAATAACTGTTTTGGGGAACCCAAAATGTTTCTTCTCCGTCATCACTGCGAAATTTAGAACTTAGTTTTAAGAGTAAACTATTATTAAAATTAAAAATGTTTTAAAAAGCCTAAGTATTTATTGATTTAGATTTGTTTTACCAACAAACTACACTGTAAAACATTATTTTCATGAGTTATCACATTTTTTGTCAAATCAACTTATATAATTAATATGGTACCAAATAAAATAATATTTTGAGTTTCTGTTAAACCAATCTCCTTCATTGTATTAACTAAAATTTAAACCGTTTTATTAAAATTTAGTTTAGCTTTCTTTTTCAGTTAAACCAACAAATACTTTTTACAGTGATACACTGATTTTTTCTTCTATTTTAGTTAATAATATACAAACAAAGTTATAAAAAAGAGTCAAACTTAACAATTCATTTCCCCCTCTTAATTGCAGTGTGTTTATGTAACAGGAACATCACTTTCTCAGCATTGCTAGCCTTTTTGACACAAACACCTGCAATTTGCAGCAAAACCATCAAACCATTCATCTCTGTGTTGTAGCCCTCTCCATTTCAGAGCTGTTTCTCTTTCTCTAATAAAACCCATAAAACAAGCGGAGGCACTGGCAAGCTGTGTCTTCAAGGCTGGATACACCTCTATGGGTTCACTAGCTTGGATTAATGGCATTTGGTCCCAAAGTTTGCTCAGCAGTCCCAGAGACAGTGACAGCAGTACGTCCTTTTAAACGAATAACAAAGGCTTATCATTTATCTGGCGGCATATGGGCCAGACCCCCTCTGTAGCAGGCCTGCTCTCTGTGGTGTCTGCCAATACTGTTGTCCTGTCCATTCCATTGTTGACTTAGTTGTCGTGCCATGAAGAGGTATAATCTAAAGTGTCTAATTCCGCTGCCTTTGGGACAAGTTTGGTGGAATATGGCTTAGATAGAGCAAATGCATATAGCGAGTGGTTTCATTTAATTAAGATGAAGTCGGCACAAATGGTTAAGAGGAAGCTGACATCCTGGTTTGCTACGTTAGCTTTTCTGAGATATAATCCTATTCCCCTGGAGATAATAAAGACAAAATTGTCATGCCTTTCATGAATGCGTATGTGACGGAATGTCTGATTTGTTGCACATATTACAGGTGACAATGGCCCATGCGAGAAGCTGTGCACGAACAAAGGCGGAGTGGACAGCCGTGTTACTGCCCAGGATAAGGTCAAAGGGTGTGCATGTAATCATCCCCATAGCAACAATGCCCCTCACCCCTGAAAGCAAATGTATGACAATAAGATCAGAGGTCACGGTGCTCCCCATATGGTCGTGTGCTGCATAAGTCATTGATCTGTCGGGATGCTCTAAAGGAATTCTGAAAGTGTCACCATAAGACTTTTAGAAAAAAAAAGACAACAACTGCTCCCGAAGGCCATAAATGCCTCCACACGGGCATAAATAGTAGCACCAAGAGCGGGAAGCCGAACGAACTGCCCACACACTTGTGTTTGAATAGTCAGGGCGTTTGACCCCACGAAAACATGGTGGAAATTAAAGTACTGCAAACATAAGAAAGAAGAAACAAGATGTTTACTTAGGACCAGTTTTTTGAGACTGAGAAAAAAATGCTTTTCAAACTTCTTGAAAATAGTGCAAACAACCTTATTTGGAGGTTTTTGAGCTTAAGAACCAAAGTCATTCGCTTGACTAAATTCCTTTGGGATTTGGTGCAGGCGTTTTAGGGCTGTTTTCGCTCTAATGGATTTTACTGGAGAAAAAAATCAGTAGTGTTGTTTTAGGATACAATATTTATTTCACAATTTTAAAAAACAAAATAGAACATTCATATTAGTGAATGAACATAAATAAAAAAAACCTGATTGCGAAGACGATATAGTGAAAAGTCTTTCCAGCTGAATTTAAACAGTATTCACAAATCCTCTAAAAAGACTATATTACTGATACATAAACACAAGCAGCACACATTTTGTTCCTGCATGTCAACAGTAATCATTTAAAGACGTTTGTCAATTCATAACACTCCAAAATAACATCATAATCATTCACATCTGCACTCCTAAACATAAAGGTTCTTTATTGGCATTTATTCCATGAGGAAACTTTCAGGAAAAAAAAAAGCTCTTTAGGTATTTTAAAATGTTCTTCAGAACTGTTCAAGATTCTTTGGGCAAAACAAATATGTCATTGCTGCGAAAACCCCCTTTTCTGTAACCTTTATTTTTAAGAGGGCATCAAATATGGACAAACCCAAATGCTGGGTTAAAAATGTTATCAAAAAATTGAAACCAATGGCTGGGTTTGTCCAGTTGGGTTAAAACAACCCAGCAATTTTTAGACTGATGGAACTCTCTCCCTTTGAACTGTCTAACCAACTAATCAATATCAAAAACTCAAAGTCTACACAATCGTATGCTAAAAATATGTATACACATTTCTTTACGTGATGCT